TGATAATGATCGTACTAATGGTGACCAAGAAAACTACAAATGATGACCAAGACGAAGTGGCTGTTGTGTTTAAATATAAATAAACCAGCTCTCATTTTGTATTCACCAATAGTCATTACAAGAGCACTTTCCATTTTCGAATCGATGAAACCGATTGTTGTCTCGCACAATAATCACTCGTCCCGTACATACAGACATGAACTTGATAGCGTTATGGCAATCACCGCAAACCCGCAGGTTCTTTATCACACGGATCGGCCTATCCGCCGAGAACGTGATCAGCCCAAAAGCAATAGCTAATTTCTCGCTGTGGTACCTTATGGTCTGATTCTTCTCGTCTCCATCAACTTCTCTCAGAACAAAGCTCGTGTCTGCAACATAACCCGCTTTCTCCATCTCTTCCCCTAACTCAGCCAGCTTCTCATAAATCTCTTTGCTTCTCTCATGGCGTCTCTCTCCAGCTGCAAATGTATGTACTTTGTTCCTTTCTTCAACCCAACTTAGCCCTGTTTCCTTCTTCTCCCCTCGGTCTCGCAGCAATTTCCTGGCTTCGGCTGAGTCCTTGAATCTACCATCAGCTGCATAAGCATTGGATAACGAAATGTGCATACCAGAACTCACGCGTCCTAATTCAAAGACCTTGTCTGCTGCAAATGCTGCAAGCTCTGTGTTCTTGTGGTTTGTACAATTTGTTAACAAAGCTCCCCATACGGATTCCGTGGGATCGATTGGCATATTCGTGATGACTTTCAGTGCTTCTTCTAGTTTACCAGCTCGTCCCAACATATCTACCAAGGAAGCGTAATGCTTATCTGTCGGCTCGATTCTGTACTCTTTCATCAGATCAAAATAGTATTTTCCTTCATCGAGTAGACCCGCGTGGTTACAAGCATTGAGCACATTCAGGAAAGTTATGAAATTTGGTTTCATTCCAGAGCGTTTCATCTGTTTGAACAATTGGATTACTTTTTTAGCGTCCGAGTGTTGTGCACACGCCTTGAGCATCGCATTCCAAATCCCGAGATTCTTCACAGGAGTCTCGTCGAAAACTTGACAAGCTCCTTCGAGAACACCACATTTGGAATACAATGAGACTAAAGAACTTCCCACGAAGCTAGACGAGTCAAAGCTAGACTTAACGCACAATCCCTGAATCTGCCTGCCTAACTCAAGAAGAGTGGAATTGGCGCAGACACTAATGACACTTGAAAACGAGTAATCATTAACAGCGAGATTCTCAAACAATGCTTCTTTAAAAAGCAACAAAGCTTCCTCATTTTCACCCATTTGCGCATACCCATACATCATCCCACTCCAAGTAACAACATTTCTCTGAGGCATTTCGTCGAACATGTTCCTCGCATCAACAATATCTCCACATTTCGCATACATGTCAACCAAAGAACTCCCCACGAACACATCAGCATCGTACCCAGTCTTCATCGATAGACAATGAACCGATTTCCCAATATCGCATCGGCTCAAAATCCCACACGACTTTGTAGCCGACGGGAGAATATGATCATCAGGACGAAGGTTTCCCTCCATCATTATCCTGAGAAACTCGAGAGCCATCCATGGAAGCTCGTTCTGCGCAAAACAAGAGATGACAGAACTCCAAGTCGTCGAGCTTTTTTGCGGGCAATCTTCGAAAGCTCGACGAGAATCCAATGGAAGCTGTGATTTGGAGTAGAAATTAATGAGATTGTTAGCAACGAGAGGGATAAGAGAAAGGCCTGATTTGACGACATAGCCATGAAGCTGAAGTCCTCTAGAAGTAGATCTGGAGCGAGCTGAAGAAAGAAGAAGATCGCAAATCCGATGGTAATTGTGACATGGAACAGAGAAAGCTGAAACGGGATCATTCCCTTGAGGAAGATGGTTGAGCATTGAACCAGCTCGGAGGAGAGAAACGAGATCGCTCTATGGTTTAAGGGCTTTTAACAATTTTTAATGGACCCATTAGGCCCATTTTATTTTAAAGCGTTACAAATCATATCCGATCAGTGATTTTCATGCGACTAGTTGATCGGAGGATTACGATGATGATGATAGCTTTTGTTCTATTCAGTGGAGCTGTTTTTCTCTTCTTCATGCCATCAAACAGTTGGGATGAGTCGTTGAATATGTCTNATAGTTGCTGAGTTTACTCATGATCCAGATGCGTTCACTCAGGTGTTTTTTTTTTTGTTTCTCTTTGACTTTGCTGGTTATTCAGAACTTTAGTATATTCTCATTCAGATTTCCATTGTTTGTTAATAAATGTACTGATCCACCGATTCTTTATTGGTGTTGGGCTATTTCAGGTCACGTGGTTGACACACACGGGTTTCACATATGACCGCAACAATTTTAGCAAAGTTCGTACTCGTTTTATATGTTTATTATTTGTTTGCAAGATTCTTTGCATGGTTATGACCAAGTTATATTGTGTCCACTGCATTAGGATTTTTCTGTGTCCACAATGGTTTCACCATTGTCGATTCTATTTAGTTTTCACTCTCATTGTAGGTAAAACAATTTACTCATCATATGAAAGATGGTTGGGGACTGGCTACTGATGGGAAAGTCTTGTTTGGGAGTGATGGGTCCTCTACACTATATCGGATTGACCCTCCAACATTAAAAAGTATCTCATCTATATATATACTGCATTAAGTGGTGCTCTGTCTTTTTTTTTTGGCCCAAATAACTTGCTTATGATTATTCACATATATAGCATTTGTCATACAATGTCTTGATGAATAATTGTTATCCGAAAACAAAATCATATTTAATACATACATGACTCGTATGATTAGAGTTTGATATGATGCGCAGAAGTTTCAAAATGTGAAACCAAACTTGGAGTACTAAGCTTACAACATTCTATCCTGATAATGTTGTTTAGCTATTTGGGTTCTTGCAATGAAGCACAATTAGAAGAATGGTTTGTAGTGAAAATGGTTGAAAGCTGATATGGATACTGCTTCTTCTTGCAGTCAGATTGTATTGCTAGAATCTCACCTAAAGATGGGTCGCTGCTTGGATGGATACTGCTTCCCGAATTAAGGTTTTGTTTATTTTTCGTGACTTTTTTTTTACATGAAGCACTGTATTAGTGGCGCTGATGATATTCCTTTGCAGGCAAGGATTGTTGAAATCTAGTTCGAGGGTAAGGATTTTTAGTAATTTCTTCCCTTAAACTATATCTCATTTTTCTACTCTCCTTGACCATCGGTTACAATGCCTTGCTTTCTGCCACAGGGCATTGATGTCCTGAACGGCATAGCATGGGATAGCGAAAAGCAACGCATCTTTGCTTGGCTCTTTCGTTGTGTCTGATCACTCACTCATCTCCTATACCTTTTGATATCTCATTTCATTTTTTTCGTTTTGGCAGTCACTGGGAAATTATGGCCAAAAGTCTACCAAATTAAGCTAAAACCCGCATTGGAAATGCATAGCAAGCAAATCGAGCAACAGTGCTTGGTGTAAAAACAACATTGTAAGCTAATTTGGGAAAAATAATCAAATATTTATAATGGTTTTATACCAAAAAAAATTATAAATTCATTTAGTATTCAGTATAAATTGTGTAGATTTTCTTCGTTTTGGCATCGTCTCAACGAAGAGAGCATAGCAATTTATCAAAGTTGAAGATGCGCTTTGAGCGTCCATCAATTTGAAGATGCGATCAACTTCATTTCAAAATGCACGTTCATTTATCTTTTTGAGCGAGAGATAGAACTTGTTGAAATGCAACAATAGCAAACGCACCAATTGTATTTGTTCGTAAGTGTGTGTTGAACACAAGTTTGGAAAAGAATATTGAGCGTACGGAGTGGTTTTTATAACTCTACAGCTTTAATGCAGATATGTTCCCTTCCCACGCTGTTAAAGAAAGGAGGTTGGTATTGGTATTTTGTTTTTGTATAGAAGAGGATGGAATAGAGAATATTACTGTGGTTGGTGAAAGAGACCAAGTGGTAATGAGAGTTACGCAGGTATCGAGGTTGATGGCAATCTCCAACTTCTGATCTGTGCCTTGCTTATATCTTTGCTCTAAAGCCAATAATTTGTGACAATGCTGAGGATAAAAACAAAGTCACTAAAGCTTTTACAGCTATAGTTTGCACGATTTTTTACAGTAGTTTTACTGTTTGAAAAGTACTCTTTTTGCCTTCAATAATTTTAATAAATAGTCCCCACATGTAAGAGTTAAAGTTGGAACCCTCTCACACATACTTTATGCGCATATAACAAACAGCCTCCTCATTTGCAAAAATGTGGAGGCAAAAGGAAAAGAATAAGATGGAGAAAAGGGTAGAAGAAAGGAAGACTCTAGTGAAAAGAGGCTTGTGGAAACCTGAAGAAGACATGATATTGAGAAGCTATATCGAGACTCATGGAGAAGGAAACTGGGCAGACATCTCTCGTAAATCCGGTCCGAACCCAAAAATAAATTCCACATATTGTGTAGTGAGTTTGTTTCATTTACTAAGTTTTCGACTTTAGGGAATATTTTAGGAATTTGTTTTCTGTGTTCAGGATTGAAGAGAGGAGGGAAAAGCTGTAGGTTGAGATGGAAGAACTATCTAAGACCAAATATCAAAAGAGGAAGCATGTCACCTCAAGAACAAGATCTCATCATCCGCATGCATAAGCTTCTCGGAAACCGGTCTTTCCCTCTTTTCATCATGAGTCTTTTCTCCCCTCCATCACTTTTCTCACATAATTAACCTTTTTTTGGTATTTTCTATCAGATGGTCCTTGATTGCTGGTCGCCTTCCAGGTCGCACTGACAACGAAGTCAAGAACTACTGGAATACCCATTTGAACAAGAAATCCAATTCCAGTAAACAGAATGCACCTGAATCAATCAGCGCCACTCCTTTCATCGATAAGCCGGTTATGTCTACAGAAGTGAGAAGCCATGGAGAAGGAGAACGAGGAAAAGAAGGTATTAGCAATACCTGGATGGAGGAGACAAACTGCTTTCAGTATGACCTCCACATTGAATCTCCCATTTCTCATTACCCAGACACTCTTGTCTTTGTTGACCCATGTTTTGCCTTCACCGATTTCTTTCCTCCGCTTTAGAAGTTTCCTTGATTTTCTCTCGAGGGATAAATTCTTACATAGACTTTGCGAATCATATTGCTTTATTTATACAATTAAGATTGATGGACATAGTCTACACAATAATTAATCATAAATTCAATTGTTATAAGCCTGAGAGGATTATTTTCTTACCCCAATGTCAACTGCAGCACAATACCTGTCCCTAACTATTTTTCGATTACAGTATTTAGTGGAAAAAGAAAAAAACGCATATATATGTCCATTGACTTAAATCTTTGTATGGGATCTCCGTAAAAGCAATCCAAATTTTGGTAACATGCCTTGAAGAAAAAGGATAGTTGTAATACTTACAAAATATCATCATCCTGAGGATATAAGATACCGTCATCAAGGGGCAAAGAAGGAGGGGTTCCTGGAGGGATACTAGCAGCACCATTTTCCCCGGCACATATGCAAAGTGCTTCGGCATCTCTGACTGTCGAATCGAGGTCAATATGCCCAGACAGCTCATTAATGAACTTTAAGAGAGTGTCAAAATCCATTTGGTCTCCCATTATCTTACTGCGGCATCGCTTCAAGATCGCCACACAAACATATAGGTGAAAATGTTCCGAGAGGTAGTGGGTCCATAACACCTCCCAGAGCAGCATTGTCTTCTCGTACTCAAACTCCCTGAGACATGTTGCCAACATAATCAAATACAACCCAGGAAAATATTACAATAACAAAATTTCTTCTTGAAAACAACATTGGGGCTTCTCGTCATTTACATTCAAAGTGTGATCAACTGTATCTCAGGTATTTTGCATATTTCGAGCCAGGAGGATGGGCAAGCTAGTTAACTAAAAATAAATGATATCAATTACCCGACGGATAATGAAATACCAATAATTATTAGTCCGTTACCCGGCACAAAGACTTTGGATATCCCATTTTCTGGTTAGGCAGCAGTTATTTTTTTACAGCCCAAACTGAGGCTGTGGTACAAACATCTAAACAATAACAAAAAGAGGCAGAAAAGAAGAAACAAACCTTTTAAATTGTATCAGGATCCAACGGAAACAAAAGAAGTAATTCAAGCAGTCATTCTGCTTAAAGTAATTATGCAGCGGGGTATCGAGCAACTCCACCAGCTGTGGGACAATGAAAAACAAAAGGCTCCAGATTTAGATCCCAACGTTGATGCTAAATGCTGACAGAAAGGAAGAATTTTAAAATGAGGTGTTCTCGCGAAAAAAATTATAGACCTTTGAGAGTGCAAAGAGCTGAGTATGCATCCCATTCTGATCACGGTTAAAGTTGGGTCCAAGGCGTTCCATCAGCGCCACAAAACACCAAAAGGATTCTGATTCATCCTCCATCACGAACATTATAGGAGACAGATAATCACTCATTCCCTAACAACGAGAGAAACATTTGTCAGTTAAAAAATTCAAAGCAAAAGCCAGAAATAGTAGAGTGTCCAGCATTCCTGCTTATACATAACAGTAAGGACACCACGAACTTGTAATTCAGTGCTAAGAATGAACTTTGAAAACTGATGAGAGTACCTGGCAGTAACCCAGGTCAAAATTGTAGAAGGAGTAGGTCAACAAAATATCACGCATGATATTGACATTTAGATTGTCATCCCCTTCATAGTATTCAAATGCCCTATCAGTTCTTACCTACACCAGAAGAAACAAACCAGGAACTTAGCTCAACGGGAATTCGATGTATAGGGCACATCACATACATAAAACAATATCCTCAAACTCCTCTAACCACATCTTTATCTATCAGCCCCTTCCTCTCCCGATATTTTGTGAACCTTTTTGCTTGCTCAGCAGAGATGCTCTGTCAAAAAGAATAAAATGTTAAGAGTGCATCTAACATGAGGGAACTAACCAACTCTAGGAATGCCTCAAAATTTTATTTAACTAGCTTAGGCATTATCGGGCCAAAGAATTACGTATCCAATTAAGGAATCTAGAAAAGATGTGATATGATGATGAACGAACCTTCCACTGCAGTTTCAGGTCTTCATATTCCTTCTTTTTGACAGATCGGTGATATTCTCTCTCTGCATATGTCGAGTCATATGCATGATATCCCAAGAGAAATGGCCAGACCTATAATGGTGATCCTAAGTTCAAAAATCAATCTGCACATACTTTTAAATTTAAATATGAAATAAATAAAGAAGTTAACTAACCTCTGTTCGCAATTGGTGCTCAATGCCTCCATAGAAAACTCTCTTTCGAAGAGCTTTTGAATCTACAACTCGCCCTTCAGAATCCAAGAATGCTGTGAACTGAGAACCCAGAAAAAGATTAAATTTAAACAAATGTGAAAAGAAAATAGAAAATTTATGCGTACATACTTGGTTGATATTTTAAACCCCATCACAGTGTTTGGTGATATATCATTGCTTCTCTACCATCTAATTAAAAATAATCTAACACAGTACCCAAAAGAATTTCCTCTCTAATCTTTCCGGACATTGGAATATTGCAGAATTCGAAAGTGATTACCTCTTCACGCCCCATTGGTGACTGCCTTGGTTTTCCCCACACCAAACTCAAGTTGTTAAACTGCAAAGGAGGAACAGTTATATGGCATAATCTATATCAAATTCATTAGTTCCATATTTACATGTAAGCGCCATTACGAGTGATCAGTTAATCATCAAGTTTTCCAGACACTTGGTGTTAGTGAAGCACAGACAGCATTCCCTCCGAAAAATGTTTAAATTGCTAATACAAACGTGAAGCATCCACATATATTGCAGAAGTGATTATCAACTAAAGCTGAGCCTTTATGCCTAAATTTAAAATTAATTGCCCTTGAATGAAAAATAACTTTCAGCGCTGTGTTTCCAACAAACTTTAACAAGAACAAGAAAGAGTGCAGTACTCACTAGTCACTAGTATCTAGGTACTGTTCCAAATTACTGAAAATACAAGCACAACTGAAATGTATGCATAAGTTCACCCATGGAAACACTCTATAGATCAAATTATACCAGGTGGGATAACTAAAATACGCCCTTGGTGATTGTCAATCAGGTATCCAGAATGAATCATAGACAAAGGAAAAAATTATGACGTATAGAATTAAGTCAATAGTACAGCTTTCACCCTGCACATTTGAGATAAATGACAATCTATCCAAAAGGCGAAAGAAAACTAGACGGTGCATCATGGCGCACAGGAAGATTCAAAGTATACGGATATAATTTCTACCAACATGCTAATGCTTATAACAGAAAAAGAAAGGAAAAAGAAAAAGGATCCGCACCTCTAAGGGATCAGCAGGAACATCAATGTCATTAGAAATTTCTTCGTTATCGAGACGGTCTGTTTCAGGGTAACTATGAGAGCTTTCATGATGTTTTTCCTCAGCAATATTTGACAACTTTTCAGGATAACTATGCACGGGTTGGTTATTCCGTCTCTTGTCAATGGAACCAAAGCCATTGTTTTCAGAAAACAACTGAGTGGTTGTTTCTCGAGCAAACTTAGTAACCAGAGAAAACTTCTCTAGAAGATGAATTGAAAGATCACGAGTAGGATCGTGACTCTTTTGCTTTCTCAATCCGTACTGGGAAAGAATAGAAATTCTGTTATCGTTAGAAGATCCTCCTCCGTCTGATGGGTATGTAGATTGTCCACTTGCAACAGGCAGTGAACTTGGCAGCTCCAATGAAGAAAGAGTTCTCTGTCGGATATAGTCATAAAATGTATTAGACCATGATATAAACCAAAATCATCACTCCACCCAACACGAGATGATTTGATATAATTACCTGCAAGGGACTCTGAAAATCATTCACAAGTAACACATTTGTATCTTCTGCCGACCTATAAAAAGCCAAGATTATGTAAGACTATATTATTTGTGGCGTAATTATGTAACGACTCATTCAGTTCCATAAGATGATAAACTTTGGTCGTCCACAAATGATCATATCAGGCCTCCCCGATGAGTAAATAAAAGCGCTATAAACGCCGTCTAAAAGTAACAATACATTGTGCATCCCCAAGCTACTTTGACACAGTAACCCAACAGATATAAAAACATGCTATCCACAAATACGCATATCAATACATGCCAGAGACAAAACGTATCTCATATCAGACACAAACCTTGCAAGAAAAACATGCTGCTTCACTATGGCCAGAAACTCTCTGACTCCTCCACTGTAGAAGTACAGAGGCGCAAATGCAAGTCCTGCAGGTCATTTTAAACGATTAACAGTTTCTAGATAATTCGACTTGTAGAAAAGCGGAGAAGGGGATCACATCCCGTTTACCAGTATCAAAACCCACTAGGAAGACCAGAGATTTTTACCAGTTATTTCATCCGTTATTTTTGCTAATTTGGGTTCCAAATATCTTAATTAGTGAGAAAACGATTACAGTCGTATTCGTTCATATAATCAATATAGATGTAAGAAAACTATTTACATTGTTGATGCAATTGATTATCCCAAATAGTGATTCAAGATTATTTTCATAATGAATATATCTCAACAAAAGCAACAGCATAAGGTTTTGCTTACCAGAAGACAGCACAACAATTATATACTGCCATCCAAGAGCAGGAGTATGTCGCTTGATGGACCTGACTTCTGTGAATGGAACTGCCGTGATGGTATAAAGACTCCTGTCTAGAAAATATAAAGAAACTAAGAATAACGTTAAGGCATTTTCTATAATATACCAATTTAGTTCAAGAATCCTGATTACCTTTATCTGATAGCTTTGCATTTGGAATTTCACCCTTGTACGGAATCCACGACTAGCCATCACAATGAAAAAAACCACTCATAATCAAATGGAAGCAGAATAATCTCAAGTAAGCGAAATGAATACAAAACTGTACATCAAGCAATCAATTCGTCTCCTAAATCTGAAGCAGATTAATATTAAAGACTTGAAAAAAAAAGGAAGGAAACAGAGATGCAATGATTACCAGGAAGAGAACAGAATCTTGCTTAGTTAACTTCAATCTACCACTGATCCTCTCGGATGCGAACTGTGTGGGATGAATTGCAACATTATCCTTGGTATATATCAATTCAGCGCCTTCGTGTTCACTAGATGAACTTCTCTTTTCGCTATCGCACCGCATCATACTAGCCGATCCCTGAGAGACATAGAAACAAATCAACCGATCAATCCACTGCGAATTTAACTTAGAGATCGATTCAAATAGAGAATGGATACAACAAATTCGCCAGGCTGAGAAAATTCATAAGCGATTATGATGGATTGACTTTTACAAAAATTGCGAAACGGAAAGCAGGAAACAAAAAAAAAAAAGACGAGGAGTCGGAATTAGCGAACTTGTTGTTGAGATGCAGCGTAATCGGCGTCGTCGGAGAGATCCTGTAGCTCCGATGCCTCCATACTCATGATTTCAC